GTTTGGTTAAGTGAGTTCTTCAAAATGATCACATTGCAAGTGTGACAAGAGCCCAGGAATTAAGAATAGACTCAAGAATTTCATAGGATGAATACTCAAAAGCAAGCTCTATACTAGAAACTCTCTTAACTTACACCTCACTGGTCAGGCTGAGACTCATCAAGTGTTCATAAGACAAGAAAAACACACTGACCACAGCAGGGCTGAACTCCCACAGTTAGGAAGCCACTTTCCAGTATATTGGACCCTTTGCTCTCACCTCCCGTGCCCACAATGAGTTAGTTATGTTTGTTTCCAAACCTGTTTATGTCAGGTGTAATAAAAAACTACAGAAACCAACGAAATACTCTTGTGCAAAGACGGTTGTTCTTTAGTTGAATATTTAAGGAAGGTTTCTTTAAAGGCAAGTTGCTAAATTTTTTTTTCTCAAACTCTGTATGGACAAGATAACTAAAAAATTAGTGAAAGAAGCCATATAACTAGCATTCCACATTCAGTTGCACTGTGCTCCACTTTAAAGAAATCAAACTGGTTATCTGAAACGTTACATTAGTGGGGAGGTGCAGGCAAAAAATACATAACCCACAATCAGCAGACCCATACAGAAAGAAAAGGTTTGGCCCTAACATTAAAAGATTGGACAACAATTGAACAACATTTATATGGTTTAAGATAAAGTGTTTAAAATATGTATGTATTGATTTAAAAAGTGAATACTTGCCCTAATGACTTTTGTAATAAACTGACCAGGAATATGGCTTCTCTTTACATGGCCTAAGAGGACTTAGTGCATTTCATGACTCATGATTCTAGACTGCTATGTAGTACTCACATTTGACTGGAACCATTATCTGAATCACAAATATCATTTCAGGTACCCTGGGAGATCTCCACATTTCTCACTGACCTGATTTAGTTTATGAATTCTGCCATCATTTTGACCTGAGATAATTACAACTGTTTGTATTTTGTATAAATCCTCTCACTCTGATGGCTTGTGTGTTCTATTACGGATGGTAACAAATACAGAGGAATAGGAATAAAATGGTGGTGGTGACAGAGAAAATACTATCGATGCTGGGGATGAGAAATATTGTGATGTGGATTAATATAGTTAAGTTTTGAAATCAGGAAGTGGTACACACATATACCACATACACACATATTTGGTTAAAAAAGATTACTCAATATCTTCTTCTCCAAGTGTCAATCAACCAAAAAGGACATGCTCTAATAATCATAGACAATGAGATTCATATTTGTATATTATAATATTAATTGAAATATAAAATTCTAATAGCTCCCAGAAGCTGAAACACTTAGTTTCTTCAATAAGATCAGGCTTAAATGGTATTGATGTTGAATTGAAAATCCAGTATAGAATTATTTTACAGTCCTTACTTGTCTGGCTAGCTGCTCTTAAATTTCAGTGGAAATGCTAAAAAAAATCTTATCCCGAATCTTATCTTTAAGTATACATCTCCTCCATCCCCTACCCCTCAAACATATACATATACACTACCTACTCATGAGTATATGTTTTAGAACATGGTTCTTAAAACGAGCCAAGACTGACAGTAATCAAATTGTGGAAGGCAGTTTTGGGATTTACCAATTTGAGCCATCTTCCCAGGGCTGTACTTGCTCAGGGCACGAGGTGGGGTGGGCATCACCATGATCAGAAAGCCTGAGTTTTAGGCTAGACGCTGGTCTCAGCTGCTGTGTGGTCTTAGAGTTCCTTTCTCTCTCTGGCTTCATTTTCCTCATCTGAAAAATGAGGAGGTGGGAAGCCCTTCCTAAGATCCATTGCCAGCTCTAAATTTCTGTGACTCTGAGATCCTAACAGCGAGCATATATCCACAGCTTTCAGTGAGAAAGACATACAATAAGCACTTTCCATGTCATAACTCAGGTAATCCTCTCAACATTCCTAATAGCAGATATTTTTGTACCATTCCCATTTTACAGATGAAGAAAATGAGACTCAGAGAGGTAAGTTGTGTGTCCATGTCACACAGCTGGTAAGCGGAAGAGCAATGATTACCACTCAGGCACCTGGCTCCAAGCCCAGATTCTTGAGCTCAGTCTGAGTCATGCTGTTTCTTATCATATGAATTGACAATACAAGCTGACAAAAACCAGAAAACACAGGCCTACAGAACATTTTGCAAACATTCAGGTAGCTAAATATCTGCATCTGACTAACAAGGCTTCTTCTTTGTAGGTAGTCAGGATGGACTTCTGGGATTGAATGTTTCCATGGCAAATGGCAACAGAAAAGCCCTCTGTAGCAAATATGCAGGTTTGAACTATAAGAAGCAGGAACAATGCTTATTTAGATCAGGCTTAAAGAACCCATTCAAACTAGGTGTTGATGTGAGCAGAGTAATGAAAGAATGTGAAGGCACTGCAAAATCTGTTGTTTTAAAGAGAGGTGACTTGGAACAACAGTACAAAATCAACCAAACCACCAAAATAAGGACAGAACCAAAGGCTCTTATGTGACACAGAACATACATTCCTGGCTCCAAAGCCACAAGGAAGGGAGCATCTCAAACTTCACCACATATGTAAGTTACCTGAGGCGTCTATTAAAAGTGAGCATTCTAGGGCCGGCCCGGTGGCACACTGCTACAGTGCGCCGCTTGGGAAGCGCGGCAGGCGCTCCTGTCGAGGGTTCGGATCCCACATACAGACCGGTTCCCGCTCACTGGCTGAGCGAGGCGTGGGAGCAACACCGGGGGTTGCGATCCCGTTGCCGGTCCCGGTCCGGTACGGGCGCGACACTGAGGGTTGCGATCCGTTGCCGGACACGAAAAAAGACAAAAAGGAAAAAAAAAAAAAAGTGAGCGTTCTGGATCAGTCCATCTAGGTGGGCCTGACTCTAAGGTGAAATGAGCTGCCAGGTGAAGCCTATGCTGCTGGAATGGGGACCATACTTTGTGAGTGAAGGTGAAAGAGCCTTGATGGTCTAGGAGGCAGCAGAGTTCAATTCTGCAACCAGTTAGCTCTGCATCTAGGGTTTAATTTTTTAATCTCAGTGTCCTCAAATGATCTCACCTGCACATATCCTCCTGGCTCTAAAATTTGATATTTCTTTTTTTTTTTTTTTTTTTGGCCGGTAAGGGGATCGCAACCCTTGGCACTGTGTGGTCTGCACCATTCTCAGCCAGTGAGCGCACAGGCCATCCCTATATAGGATCCGAACCCGCAGCCTCAGCGCTACCAGCGCCGCACTCTCCCGAGTGAGCCACAGGGCCGGCCCTAAAATTTGATATTTCTTTTTTTTTTTTTTTTGGCCGGTAAGGGGATCGCAACCCTTGGCACTGTGTGGTCTGCACCATTCTCAGCCAGTGAGCGCACAGGCCATCCCTATATAGGATCCGAACCCGCAGCCTCAGCGCTACCAGTGCCGCACTCTCCCGAGTGAGCCACAGGGCCGGCCCTAAAATTTGATATTTCTAATGATGCCTTTCTCATATAACCCTATGCTGAGCTTCTGCTGGTAGAATTAATGGGAAAATGAAATGTCCTCCTTCCCCTCAACCCTACATCTGTGCCATGGGAGAGTAATGGCTCAGTCCTCTTCTTGGATATTAAAGAAAGATAATGGGAACCCTGTTCAGAGGTAAAACCACCCTGAAAACCAATGATTTGACAAAAAAAGATTTAAGATTGAGGCTTTCTACTGCTTTGGCCAAAATCTCTTTGAGACTTGCTTGCCAGGACAATGGTATGTTGAGTATGGTATTAAAAGATGGATCTTAACCCAATATTTTAATAACTTGTGGGGGGGAGGGTTTGGATTTCTTAACCATACAGACCTGCACTATTCAATATGGCAGCCATTAGCCACATGTAGCTACTGAGCACTTGAAAAGTGGCTAGTCAGATTTGAAAATACACACCAGATTTCCAAGACAGAGTATAAGAAAAAAAACAATGTAAAATGTCACTGCTATGGTCTGAATGTCTGTCCCCTCCAAAGCTCATGTGGCAGCTTGATCCCCAATGTGGTAGTGTTGAGAGGTGTGGCCTTTGGGAGGTGACTCACCTTTGAGAGGTGAGGACTATGCCTTCATGATGGGTTAACCCATTTATGGATTTATGGAATAATGGGTTAATGGTTAAATAGGGTATCATGGGAGTGGCACTAGTGGCTTTATAAGAAGAGCAAGTGAGCACATTAACACTCTAGCCCCTCTCATCATGTGATGCACTCACTGCCTCAGGACTATGCAGAGTCCCCACGAGGAAGAAGGTCCTCACCAGGTGTGCCCCCTCAACCTTGGATGTCCCAACCTCCAAAATTGTAGGCAATGAATTTCATTTCTTGATAAATTGCCCAGTTTCAGGTATTCCAAGTGACAGAAAACCAAGTAATACAGTCACTAATAAAATTGACATTGATGTCATGCTAAATATACTGACAATATTTTGGCTATATTGGGTTAAATAAAATATTTTACTGAAATTAATTTCACCTGTATCTTTTTACTTTCAAAATGTGCTACAAGGAAAATTAAATTATATATGTTGGCTTGCATATATAATTAAAACTTCTGCTAGGCAGTACTGACCTAGACCCTTGCTACTCAAATTGTGGTTTTCAGACAAGCAGCATCTACATCACCTGAGATGTTGTTAGAAAATGAAAGTCGTGTCCCCACCTCAGATCTATTGAATCAGAATCTCCATTTCAACAAGATTCCAGAAGATTTCTGTACATTCAAGTTTGTGAAGTGCTGGGCTAGTTTTTCCCACAATGTATCTCAGTAGGTATTTAGGTTATTGGCCTATATGAGTGACATGCTAAAAGGGTATTGTGCTTGATGAATTTTCTATACAGACATGCTAGCAAAGCAATGGAAATTAAAAAAAAAATTACATTATCATACAATTCAAAATTATATATTAAAATTACATTCTACATAAAAATTATACATACGACATATATACTTATAGGTGGGAAGAGAGGGAGGTCATTTAACTGAGGCTACCTTAGTTACTTCTGGATTTTCAGCCACCATGTAAGTGAAACTAATGTTCACCAGATCTGTACCACTGCAGACACAAACTATCCGCCCTTCCAGATCATTTTCTGATTTTCCAACAGCTTCAAGAGCAGCCAAAATTTTGAGATCCTGTTAGAGGTATACGAATAGAAAAAATATGTCAGATCATAGAGCACAGAGGAAGAAATGTGGTAAAAGGAAAAGCACATTTGATATAAAAATATATATAAGGGTAAATTTTTTTTTCTATCTAAAATGCCCAGATATCTAACATTATTCTAAAATCTGTAGAAGTAAAATTTAGGACACTACATATTATTTGAAATTCCTTGGTAAGAAAGGTATTATAAAATTTTTATTAGAAACCCAGCTGTAAGGGTCTTTGTTTAGATTTTTGGTTATCAGTATTAGAGGACATAGAATATGGCAACAAGATAGGTAAGGCTCTGATTGGGGTTTGCTTGTGCCCACAAAGATCAAAGAGGCCTCTCACCAGAGGACAATCATGAAGGTTTCACATGAATCGACATGGCATTACCATGACCAGCAACCACAGGTTATTCTCAAAAATGAGATTAAGTCTTTCAAGTAGCCTGGATACAAAGAGTACATTCATCTCTGGAAGTCATGACATCCTCAATTGGAATGAAGGCTGTGCAAGTTTACCCTAAACAGTAAATAAAATAGTGTCTTTGTTCTCCAAAGAACTTGGGAGAAATGCCAACATATAGTCACACAGAAAATTTAACTAACAAGGCCGGCCCGGTGGCGCACTGCTATAGTGCGCTGCTTGGGAGCGCAGTGGCGCTCCCGCCGAGGGTTCGGATCCCACATACAGACCGGTTCCCGCTCACTGGCTGAGCGAGGGGCGGGCGCAGCACCGAGGGTTGCGATCCCGTTGCCAGTCCCGGTCCGGTACGGGCACGACACTGAGGGTTGGGGTCCGTTGCCGGACATGAAAAAAAGACAAAAAGGAAAAAAAAAAAAAAAAGAAAATTTAACTAACATAAAAGAGGACAGCCTCATAAAAAAAAAAAAGTCAGGAAGGTAATTTTGTTTTTAATAGTTAAATCCTGCAAGGTTATTATGATAAAGGGAATAAATACTGTGCTAGAATATTCTAGAAAGAAACATTTTTTAAATTCCTAGCATCACTATGCAAATAGCTTCTTATTCAAACAAATCAATCACTGCGAAGAAGACTGATTTATATGCTTTTTTTTTTTTTTCTCTCTCTCAGAGGCAAACAGAGCCTTTTAGGTGAGCCAATGTCTGCATGCACAGGTGCACAAATATGGAACAATCCAAGCCATGTAAATTTCCACATCAACCACAGATGAGAATTGAATCACCATTTGATTAATAAAAGGGGGAGGGAGGAGCTTATCAAATTAATTTCTGAGTTAAGGGAACTGTTTCTTTGATGCTGCTACCATGCAAGGGGCTTAGTTTTCAAGGATAAGTCATATAACTAAAGATAACGCAATCCAAATCACCCAATGTTTATAGACAAGAAGATTTTTTAAATTGTCTGTTCTTAATTCCCAGCTGATGATTTTGGGGCAGTAACATGTTAAACAGCGTTCTGGAGACCATTTCCAATCTAAGTAAATCTGCGTTTAGAAGAATGGCAAACACCAATCACGGGTACCTTCGGTATGGCTCCCAACCGAATGCTGTTGATGAGGGAGCATTCTAGCACTTGTCCTTCCTGAAAAGAGAGAATACAACACACCAGTGAGCTTAAACTCTGCCAGACCTATGGCACAGACAACACGCTCAGCAAACATTTCCGACGATGAAGGCAGTGATGATTAGAGTGAGGGAGAAAAGGAAGTGAAAACCAAGTAACAATTATTTCCAATGACCAGAAATAATCAAGATCCCAAACATTCTATTTCAAATATGTATATGAATGCAACTCTGAATAATTATTTATAAAATGCCATTACTTTTATACATATAATATTGTTAATAATATCTGTGTATCATTGAAGATATGTGTACATAAAATATTAAGTGGAAATAATGCTAACTTTTCTGTAACTCCAATTCTACATTTCTTAAATTCAGTTCAAATGCTCATTAAATGTGTACATTGTGCCACACACCAAATTAAGTCCTAGGGCATAAGGAGATGAACACATTTTTAATGCATCTTTTAGATTTCAACTTGAGCATGTCTTCTGGGAAATCTTTCTTTTTTTTTTTTGTCTTTTTTCGCAACCGGCAAGGGATCGCAACCCTCAGTGTCGCACCCGTACCGGACCGGGACCGGCAACGGGATCGCAACCCTCGGTGTTGCCCCCGCTCCTAGCTCAGCCAGTGAGCGGTCGGTCTGTATGTGGGATCCAAACCCTCGGCGGGAGCGCCGCTGCGCTTCCCAAGCGGCGCACTGCTACAGTGCGCCACCGGGCGGCCCTGGGAAATCTTTCTAATTCCCAAGATTAAATCAGACTTATCTTGTAACAATCTAAAACTTCTCTTTCACAACACTTAATACAGTCAATGACTTTGTAACTTTTTTTTTTTAATTGCCTGACTTTGCTCCTAGACTAGAATCTATAAAAACTAGGATAACATCCTTGATCGCCAATGTGTCTCCAATGCCTGGCACATGGAAGCACGTCTTTAAAAATCTTGAATGAATGAAGTGTAGGGTCTTTGCCCTCAAGAGGCACTCAGTCTCCCTGTTGAGAAATCAAACGGTATAAACCAGAAAGCAGAAGAAGAACGTGATCTTGTGCCATACCTTGCCTTCACTTTTCCAGGTCAGAAAGAAGCCAAATTCATCCACTTTGAAGAGGCAGTTGGGTTCAAATACGAAGGATTCCTGTTAAAAAGAAATGCATTGTTCTTCATGACTCATACCATTTTGAATCTGATAAAAATGCAAATATATTTGAGCCTCTAAAGAAGGGAAAATGAGAAATCATCCTTTTGCATCCTGATTCTAATAACCACATTTCTTATTATATTATGGAACTTTTTAATTTTGAAAAGTCTTTGCATTCATTTTTGCATTGAAAAATTGATCAATTTAATACAGCATCTTCCTCTGGAACGGGCTTAAGGATAAACGACACTGATGTTGTAAAGCTAATAGAGAAGAAATTTTCTCTAAGATCCTGGAAGAAGAGCTCCTGGAAGAAAGAAAGCTCCCAGGTTCCAGCCCACTGGTCTCCCTCCATATAAGCAGAACCATTGGCTATATCTAACATAACACCTGCATCATAACATAACATAAATGCCTATATCTAACATAAACTCAGGAGAAAAATTTTTTTTTAGAGACACAGTTTTTTGGTTTTTGTTTTGTTTTTGCCTGTACAATTCAGCATTCAGATGTTTACTCAGAAAATTGCTGAGATTTTTGCTTTTATATCCAACCTCATTTGTTGTCTTGTAAAGCAGGCCTTGAGCAGCACTTTCAACTATTCAAACTGCAGTCCTTGGACCAGCAGCATCAGCATCCCCTGGAAGACTGACTGAATTGCAAAATTTAGGGCCCCAGCCCAGATGGACTGATTTAGAGTCTTTGGGGATGGGGCCCATCAATCTGTGGTCCAACAAGCCCTCCAGGTGATTCTAATGCACACTAAAGTTTAAGAACCACTGCTGTAGACTTTGATACCAGAAACTCAGTGAAAACTACAGAATCAAAGTTTGAATCAAGAAGGAAGGTTAGTCAAACTCAAGGCATCAGAGCAGCCAAGGTATTCCTGATCGTTAGTAAGAGAGCACCAATTATGCTTAGGAACGCCAGGACAATTCTATGTCAACAAGAGAAAAAGGGTGTTCAGGAAATGAACCCAGATGTCCTATGCCTTCCATTTGCAATACACCAAGACATGGCATCCACACTTCAACAAATCTACATGCTCTTCCCATCATCGAAAGAAACTGTCCTCCTAGATCACTGCAATGCCAGCTATTAGGAACCTGCCTGGCAAACATGGACCAAGGCAATGACTTAAATAAACAGTAATTACAGGATTAAGATTTTAAGGGTAGTTTAGAATTAGTTTCACCTGTCAAAATTTGTCCTTCTAAATTCCAGGAAGCAGAAACATTAATCAAGGTAAATCCAATGTGAAGACATTCGGCCGCCACAAAGTGGCAGAATTTAAAGTCCTGGGAGCCCTGAAGCCAGCCTTCAAATTGTCTGGGTGGTTTTCTGGCAGATGAAGAATTGTCATATGTATACCAACTCAGTACCAGGCATGTGCGAGGCATTGTAGACACAGCAACGACTAAGACAAAAGAAGGGGCCTTGTGTGACCTTTGCATCTGGGGTCAAAGTCCAGTCCCACCATTTATATTATTTACCTTCTCCAAGAAAGACCCTTTCTAAGTCTCAGAATCCTTGTCTAATAAATGAAAGTATTTACACCTACCTTTGGTTTTGCTGTGAGAATTAAATGAGATAGTGAATGTGAAACACATACACAGAATTCAGCAAGTAGTAGCTCCTACCAATAATGTACGGTCCAAATCCATAATAGTGGTAGCAAATTACTAATAACATGAAATTGCCAATATGTGACATTTTTTGAGCCCTCGAAATGACATTTTTGGACAATTCAACCTTTTAGAAAAAGCTTGACCTGGAAGTTGATTTTTTGCAGGTGGCTAGTATTAAAGTTGATAATTTGTGCCAGGCAGAGAAAGCAGCATTTGCAAAGACATGTGGTCTTCAACTGACACTGGGGACTTCTGAGTTGTCTGATGTTAGAACACCTTAAGAAAGTGGCAGGGGATGGCAGGGGACACAAAAATAAGAGCCAGGTCATTGGAAGAGTCCTGTATGCCACACAAAAGGCATTAGACTTTACTCAAAAGGCCATGGGGAGTCTTTTATTGTTCCTGATTAAGAAATGAGAATTATCAACGAATCGAGACATGAGAATTAACATATTTTAGAATATTTCCCAAGCAATATTGTGATGATGATAAAGAATTCTAGTGCACAGCTTTCAAAAGTATGTCCTAAAATGGTGTTTACAGAGTAGACGCACAATGAATCAGCTACCATCACTATTTATGCGCACCATATTATCACCTAATTCCAAATAAGGATTTGAGATGACCCAAGAACGGTTTTCCAATTTATTTTGCGGCTGAACTTTCACTTCCTTGACAGCCTTAACAACAGTGATTTTTTTCCTTCCTTCCCCTCTGGGTGCCCCCACACCTTGTCATCACCACCTTGAAATTTTGATTCCTAACATCCCCTTGGACCATTTCATATGATCCGTCTAGACCCTAGCTCTGGAGTCCTCAGTGTCCTGTATTACTTGACTTCTTTGCGGCCTCCTGCCAGTCTCTCACTATCCATCAGACTCCTTCTGCTTTTACTTCCATCCTTGTCTAGCTTATTTCCACAGTCCAATATTAAAATCACTCCTTCATCAATGCTCTCAACTCCCCTATCTCATTTTCTGTTCTGTTGGACAAAAAACCAAGTCCATCCTATCCATGTTTTATCACTGAACTTGATGATGAAAATCACAAAATTAAATTGTCTGCCTTTAGTTTAAACTCAAGATTGTAAACCTCAAGTGGATAGTCAACAGTGACTTTCAATCTTATATATATGTTTTTTAATAGGTTCTCCACTCTTTGAGAGGACTATTTCACTGCTTTTTCTAAAACTTGTTTACTTCTAGCAATTACAGTGCTCCACTAAGTAAGGAGAAGCATCAGATGCAACGCCTCCTCCTTCCCTACTCACGAAGCATGCTTTTTCCTATCAAAGGTCAACTCCCCCACTTCTGCTCTGGACTCAATCCTCTTCCACTGACACCAAAACTTCAATCCTTTATCACTGTCCAACACACATTAGTTTTTTATTTTCTTTCCTTTTCTCTCTATTAGATCATTCCTATCAGTGTATGAATATGTTCTAGTAGTTCCTACTTCTACTTTCACATACTACCCCATGTCTCTGTTCCCCTTGGGCATATCTTGAAAAGTCTGTCTACATTCACTGTCTCCACTCTCTCTCTTCCATACCATCTTTGACCATCTCCATCTGGCTTCTGTTTCTTTCACTTTCTAAAACTTCTCTGGCCAGTTCATCATGCTGCCAAATGCACAGTGCACATTCCTTTCCTCACTGATTTGATCTCTGAGCAGTTGACTATTCCTTCCTTCCTGAAACACTCTCCAATTCTGATATCCCTCCCTTTTAATGTCATTAATGTCATTTCCTGACTTTTCTTTCTGCATCCACCTTCTACATGTTCTCCGGGACGTGGTTCTGGGAATTCTCATTTCCACTTTGTCCCTAAATCTCATTTAATCTCATAGCTTGAATACCATCTGTTTGCTGATGACCCCACATTTATAATTGCAGTCCAGTCCTCTGTGAGCTCCAAACTCAGACATTTAACTCCCTGCTTGACATCTCCACTTGAGTGTCTCAAAATTAACATGTCCATAACTGAATTCTTTATTCCCTACCTTCTCTCCTAGCTTCTCCATCACAAGACTTCCTTAGTTCAATAAACATCACTAGCATCTACTCACTTAATAAAACTAAAAGTCGTCCTTGACTTTCCCTCATCCTTTCCCCTCTCCTCCATTAACAAATCTACTTCCATAGCATTTTCCAAATATGCCCACTTTACTCCATCGCCATCACCACCATTTGGTCCAAACCATTATCATTATGGATTGACTTTCCCACTTGTACTCTGTCTTCCCACAGTGGCCAGATTGATTCTTTAAATTAGTTCATTAAATCCATTCAATAGATTCCCATTATATTTAGGATAAAATCTCAACTCCTTACCATGGCCTAAAAGGTCCTGGACAATCTGAGTCCTTCACATGTTATCTCATGCACTCTCTGCTCTTCAATTTCCTCCTGTTCTCTACAACCATCAGAGCTCTTATCCTGGAACCCTTCATCCTTTCTCCAGCCTCAGGGCCTTTGCACTTGCAGCTCCTCCTGCCCAGAAGTCTCTCCTCCTGCCTTTAGTATAGCTGACTCCTCTTCGTCCTGCAGGCCTTGCCTTAATTATGCCCTCTTCAGAGAGGCTTTCCCTGATCTCCTTATCATGTCTCTTTATTTCCTATGATAGTATCTTGATTATTTCCGTGCTAACACCGATAAGTCTATAATTATTTCATTTCTTTGCTTCTTGACTTATTGACTGGCTCCTACACCAGAATGTAACCTTCACAAGGGCAAAGTCCTTGAAGCAGTCTTGTTCACCTTTGTGTTCCTGGCACCTAGCCCATCAAAAGTACCCTAAAACTAATTCATGAACTAAAAATGAATGAACAAATGATTTTTTTTTCAGATAAAATATTTTGCAGCAGGCCAATATGTAAAACAGATAAACTAGAAGTTGCTCAATTTGAGAGGTTGTGCCAGGCACAGAACCCATCAGGGTCAAAACTTGGAGGGTTTCTATGAACAGAAGTACGAATACACAGGGTTTTCAAAAAGTTCATGAAACAATTCATATTTCATCTTTCAATTCTATTTTCCATGAACTTGTTGAAAGGCTGTCTGCATGGAGGAAGGGGTACCTTTTTCTAATCCATATCAATTCATCTTAAAGGTTAGGGGTGGCTTTGAGGTATCTCCTGGGGATCCCTGTTGGACCAGGAGCACCATTTGAATGCTGCTACAAAGAAATCATTTTCAAAATAGGATAAGAAACCTGGGCAAGGAGAAAAATAATAAGGTAGAAGAGTAAGATAAGGAGAGAGTACAATGTAGGTCTCAGAAAGGCCTGTCATAATGTCCTACACGGTCAGAACTGAAAGCCAATTTGGCCCTGAGCTCCCCATCAACAAAAGCAAAAGAAAGGAAATAAT